GCACATGTCCCATGTGCAGGGATGTGTCCCCTAACTTACTTCCCAGTTACCACCAAGATGTGTGTATAAAATGACTAAACCCCTCCCAGGTGTCTACTTTGAGGAAATTCACTGGGTGAGTCTTCAGTCCATCCGTTCTACTCCAGTTGTCTTTTTCTTTCCTCCACACCATCCTTTCTCCTTCCCTTTTTCTCCTGAGAAGGTGAGACAGGCACAGCATAGTGGCGTCCATAGGAGCTGTGTAGGGCCAGTCTCCGAGCCATAGTCTATCCAAGGGGGGTGGGGGGCTAGAGATCTTCCATCCTCCCTCACCCCTGCCCAGAAAACTGAGATGCAGGAAGCCCACGTGACTTGCTCAAGGTCACAGAGAAGTCTGCAGCAGAGCTAGTCTGAGAACTCAAGCCTCCAGACTTCCAGTCCAGTGCTCCTGCCAGTTAATCAGGTTTGTTTTTGGTTTTCAGATGCTCCAGCCAGTAATGCCCTAAGGACCTCAAGTCTGGGGCCATTAAGACTTGGAGCCCAGTGGAGAGAGTGACCTCTTCTGTTCTAGAGCCTTTCCTCAGAGGATAGAGACCGGTGGGGGAAGGGATGATATTTAATTGGGGGAGGGGGTGCCAAGGGTAGCAAGTGAAAGGATTACCCCAGTCGACTGACTGACGAGTGCAAATTATATTTATATATGTGCTAAATACAGTCACTATATTGCAGTTTTCCACTAGATCACAGCATACAGAATCAAAAGTTTGCATTTCGAATGGAATGTATCCAAAGAGGCCAGCACCACAGTAGGACAGCTTGCGATCACACACCCTGATAGTTTGGACGAAATAAAGTTCGCGGAATTTTATTTAAATTTTTTTTTTTTTTGTATTCGTAGTTGTTTGTCATCGTACTAATAATGCATGCAAAGCATTCCACTCCCAGAAACAACGCCAAAATGAGGTAATAGGAGTAATAAAAAAAATTAGTATCCTTTCTAAATAAATAAATTATAATTAAAAATGCAAAACAACTATAAAAATAATTAAATAAGAACCCACAATATCTACAAGTTAGTCATAAATTATGATTGTTAAATATAAGGCATTTAAACGCACAAAACCCTGTAAACTAGCAACGTGCCATGGTTTTTTTTTTTTTTTTTTCGTTTTTGTTTTCTATCGGCTGAATTCGCTCTAGCAGTTGCTCTACGCGCGCAGAGATGAAACACGAGGGGGGGACCTGACAGAGGTTGCTACAGCCCCACGCGGGGAGTGTTTTTCCCGCCTGGAGGAGGGGGGATTTGGGGGATTTCTTTAGGGGAAGGGAAAAAAAAAGTCTGGTGCTTTTTTCTTCACCATTGAAAAAACTGTGCTTGTTTGTTCGTTAGGCGTAAAGAGTTAAGAATACTTGCACGGAGGCTGGGAACACTTGCAGGAAAGGAGCTTGAGTCCAGCCACAGGCCGTGGGCAAGGGCTAAAGGGGCCAGAAGGGGTCCTGGCTGGGCTGGAGAGTCCCTTGGACCCTGGCTGGCCCTCTGCCTGCTCGCCCAGCCGAGCTCGTGGCGTTGGATTGATTGATTGGCGTCCTCGTGGGCCATGGGCCTGCTGCGACTGCTGGGGTGGCTGTGGCTGCGGCTGCGGCTAGGAGGCCCACCTTGAATCCTGGGGCAGCTGTCTTCCCAGAAGGCACTCATGCGTCTCAGTCAAGAAAGGGTCTGAGTCCCTTGAGTTGAGTAGAAGGAGGACTATAGGTGGTTTCCCCTCCTGGGGTGGTAGGTGTGAGATGCTGAGGTCTGACCTTGCCTCTTCTCCCTCTCCCCAGGGCTCCCCATTGGTCAAATGGGGGAGAATTTAAGGGTGCAGAAGCAAAGATCTTTCGCCTCTCTTCTCAAATGGCTGCCTGGCTAAGAAAGCCAGGGGCTGGCAGGACTCACATCACCTCCTGTCCCTCCCTGCAGGGTGCAAGGGCCCCAGAGAGATGGGAAGGAGAGGGAAGCTTCCCGGTCTACCCCCATGGGTCAACCACAACTTAAGCAGCTTACTTCTCCCCTCTGGGTAATCCTCACGCCATCCCTAAAATTAGCCAGGGGCACACCGGGAGCCAGCAGAGAGCAGGGAAGCAGGAGAGGACAAGTCTCACTCTGTCGCTTAGCATTTGTACCCTCAGCCTCTGAAACAGATGTTCCTGCTCACGGAAGGTCAGAGTCAACAGCTCAGTTGGCACACAGCTCTACCAACTTGGAAGGAGATGTGTTGATGTTAAGGAGAATCACAGAATGTGAGTGGTGGAAAGAAATTTAGCAAGCCTCCAATCCAACATCCTTGTGTTGTAGCTGAGGAAACTGAGGCCTAGAGAGAAGAAAGGGGTTTCTACAATTGCACACTTTGTCAGTGAAGAGCCAACACTGGAACCCAGGCCTTCAGCTCTAGTTTCATCCTTGTATCTCCATTCCCTGACTCCCTTCTACCTGTTAGCCTTTCAAACCAACCTCAGAAGGGAGAATAAAAGACTAAGAGGGGAGCTACCTTCCATAGTCCACCCCAGCTACTGCCAGGTCAAAGCCATCTTGTGGTGGGATGCTTGGTTTTGACTCAGCTGCTGGGGACACAGGGGAGGATTCTCAACTTCCTGTGGCTATTAGTAACTAGCTTTCCCCAAAATTCTAACTCAAATGTACTTTCCCTCCTGGTAGAATTTAGCTCTGGAGACATATTCACATACTCAAACCACTGAATTGAACAATGTAATGCTCATTGCAGTTGACCCTGAATCTTAAAATTATTCATCATTTTTGCACTATTGTGTATGTGCCTCATTTCCACACTCCTCAGAGCAGGGACACTGTCTTCTTCACTATTGTCTTTTCCAGCACCTGCACCGGTAGGCACTCAATAAAGATTTTATGGAACACCAGGTTATCGATGCTGAAAGAGACCTTAGCCTTTGAGTAAGTTTCTTGAGCAAAGCTGCTGGCACTCAGTGACAGTGGGTGTTCAGAGCAGTCGTTCCTTGCTGGGCAGCTCCAGAGGTGTTAGGAAGCTCTACCTAAAGCTAAAGTTGGCCTCCCTGCCACTTCGACCCATTGGTCCTGGTTCGTTGTTATTAGTCACCACTGAGTCAATTCTGACTCATGACAACCTCGGGAGCAGCAATACAGACTCAAATTTCCTTCACCTTATGGAAGTTCTTCATAGACATGATACTAAGTCTCCCTTGGTCTTCTAAGAGCACTGAAACTGGGGTAAGGATTGAGATGAAGGATAGGGGCTTTTAGAGCAGTGCAAATGAAGGGAGAGGAGGAGTAAAGGGCAAAAAGGAAGATAGCAGAATTCCAGTTGGCCTAGTGTGTTCCACGTAAGGATAAAGGAATTTGGATATGGGATGGCACTTGGTGGGTTTCCATTCCCCTGCCCTCCCATCTCTCTATCTCTCTGGGGTTTAGGGAACTTGTGTGGTTGTGCAGAAAGATACATTGTATGGTGGCACTTGGAACTTCCAAGTCTGTCTCTCCTACCATACCGCATCCCTAAATCCCAAGGGGATTCCTAAGAGAGAGCACAGAGCTCATTGGACAGATGGTGTTAATCCTCACCACATCTAGATAAGGTAGCAGGAGTGAAAACGGGGACGCACTGCTATTTCTCTCCATTCTAAGGAGAAGGAAACTGAGGCACACAGAAGAAAAGGGACTTGCCCAAGGTAATCAAAGAGTCAGAGGAAGAGCCAGAGGCTAGAAACATAGAACCTACCAAAGCCAGCCAATGTGCTCTCTGTTTTGAGGGACTACATCAGGACTTGAGACAGCCCAAAGGATGCTCTAGGTCCTCCTCACCATTCATGATGCTTGATCTCAGCCCAAGTGCTAGCTGAGAGCACTTTGGCAAGACTAAGTGTCCATCTATTGTCATCATCTGGTTAATTTTTTGCATAGGGAGGCAGTGGCTAAATTGCCTCTCCGTGACAGGGCATGAGCACAGCAGAAAGGAAGAAGGTGGAATGAGCTTGGGCATCCTGGCTCCGAGGAACCCAAGGGGCAGTTTTAGTTGAAGGCTGGCCTCTCTGTAGTTCAGTGGGAATAGAGGTTAGCGGAAGCCAAGCAGATGAGCCTTGGACTTGGGGAGCCCTCCCTCACGGTACAACAACCCCCTTCACCTACTCCAACTCTATCTTCCTAACCTCAGCTAAACCCCTCAGAGGCCCCTATAAGACCTTCAGCCACTCGTTTTCCAGTTCCCCTTTCCCCAAAATGCCCCCTTCTATACTCCGTGCACTGTAAACATGAGAAAAAAAAAACAAAGCAAAGGAAAAACACAAAACACAAAAACGAGAACCCCCCCTTCTGCCTCCTAACCTGGGTGAAGAAAAAAATCTTTTTTTTTTTTCACCGTAAACAGGATTTGGCTTTTTTTTTTCTTTTTCTTTTTCCTTTTCTCTCATAAAGACAGGAGGATCTGGGCTGTCGTTGATTGGTTCAGTCAGGCACCAAAACAAGGAACTCAATGAGAAATATTTGGTGCGAACTCGGTAATAGCGACATGTCCACCACAGATGACTAGAGCACCACACACAACATTTGTCTTAAGCTAACATGCTCTGGCTGCCATCCACAGAAATAGCTAGAGACCCCTACATGGTTTCTACGTGGTCGAGAGGTATATATACAATCCTTCTAAGGACAGGATTGAGGGGCCGGTCTATCAGCTAGAACCTTCAGGATCACATCTAAACTCTCAGCGGCGTGGGCCCCCCCTTCCCACCCCTGCTCTGGGCACGGCCAGCTCCCTCCCTCCCGTGCAGCAAGGCGGATGGGGGCAGTCACCATTCTGCATGGGCGGGTGCTTCTCCCACCCCCTGCTTTCCCTCAGACACTGATACCACCAACTCCTCTTTCCGCAAAATGTGCTTGCAGGCTTTTCCTCTACATCAAATGGCTCAGAAGGCAAAGTTTGGCTGCAAGGGCTATGGCCGTGGGGGGACCTGGTGAAGGAAAATGGGGTGTTCACTGGCTGACTTCTCCCTCAGCTGTCGGCTCCCAACTGTGTCTCAATGTCCACTCGGCAGATGGGGCATTTCTTGCTCATGGCGAGCCACTGGTCCACGCACAGTTGGTGAAAGAGATGCATACAGGGTAAGCGTCTGGAAGAGAGAAGAGAGGGTCAGAAGACTGGGGGTAGTGGGGAGGCAGCTGCACCAGGAGCTGAGGGTAGGCAAAGGGTAGGCTACTGAGGGGACCAGGAGACATACACCTGTGACCACTGGAGAACTGGCCAAAGAGGGTCTTAGGAGCTCTTTGTGGTCAACCACAAAGGGAAGGCAAGGCAGGGAGTGGAACTCAAAGCCCTCTTTCACCATGGGGCCCTTTCAGATCAACCTGAAGCAAATCACGACTTGTCCTAAACCCATCCAAGGACAACATCACACTACTCTGTTAATGCTTTACTTCCACCGATCACAACCATGAGCACCACACATTTAGGATAGTCCACACTCCACTTTCACAGGGTGACCATGCAGCACACTATTGTACACTGGACACATTTGCTCCCAGATACACAGTGCAGTGATAGATCACCACTACCCACAAGACAAAGGGAGTGTGGGGGGAGTCAGAGAGGCTGGCCTCCTACCTCACATCTTCTCCGTCTTCGAGCATAGACAGACAAATTGTGCATTTTTCATCTGTGTCAGACTCCTCCCCATCTTCCTTCTTGCCCTTGCCATCCTGGGGTCTTCGCTATGAGAAACAGAGAGAGGAGTGGACTTACCTGGTGGCCATTGTCTTTCATACACAGGATCCTCTCTCCTGTGCTGTCCCATCTCTCCTTTGAGCTGGCTTCCTTCTAAGTGCTTAAGTGAAATCCAAGGAGCTCTGGTGGAGCAGTGGCTAAAGCATTCAGCTGCTACCCAAAAGTCCAGCAGTTCAAGCCCACCAGCCACTCCACAGGAGAAGACGACGAGTCAGTCTGCTTCCATAAAGATTTACAGCCTTAGAAACCCTATGGAGCAGTTCTACTCTGTCCTGTAGGGTCACTATGAGTTGGAATCGACTCAAATGGCAGTGGGGTTTTTTAAGTAAAACCTAGACTTCCGCCATTTTCCCAGCCCCCTGTCCACTGCCTTTTACCCAACTCCTCCCCATCACTGCAGAATAGAGAGGGTGAGGCCAAACAAGGAAGCCAAGTAGGGTTTATTTTTTGCTGTCCCAGGCACTTTCTAGGGGTGAAAGATCTGGAAAGGAATTGGGTACCTAATGAATCAATCCTTTGCAAAGTTATGGCTTGTGCATAAAGAGCTTCCTCCTTCTGTTCTGATCTTGTTGTCCACTCCTCCTCACATTCTTTCCATCCTGGGTCCCTGCCTCCAGGCTTCTCTCTCTACTTTCAGGTCCAGCATCCTTCATTCATTCCTTTATTCATTCACTCTTCTTTCAACTAATGCCAATTCATTTAGTTATTCATTACTAGATGAAGGCAATGGGCTCAAAGATAGCAATGACTCTGAAAATGATGCAGGACCAGGCAATATTCAGTTGTATAACACATAAGGTTGCTACGAGTCAGAGCTGACTTCACGGCACCTAACAATAAGATGAAGGCAAAATTCCTCAGCCGGACACTAACTCCTGTGATTTGTGTCATGCTGTTATGAGCTATATTATGTTGTTGAATTTCTCTTCCTATCCAGAAAGTTCTTCTAAGGGAGGTACAAGTCCCTACAGTAGGCATGATATAGGGACTCTGTTTATACTTCCTGGATTTGATTGTCCTGTTTTTTTATTATGGGCTAATTATCCAAAAATAGTTAACCTTTGTATAGCAAGTTCCAAGTTCTTAGATGGTATGGACTATGGCTTACACCACACTTGGCCAAGTATGATGCACAGCACTGGTGCTTAATAAATAATCTGGGGAGGAAGGGAATTATCAGCGAAAGAAATCAGCCCAACTTTTGACTTCCCACCTCCAAGCAGTGCAGTGAGGTCAGCTGCTGATGACACCCATGGGGAGGAATCTGCCCATTCTGTGCCCTCTCTAGGGGTGAGCCAACCGAAAAGTCACTTTGCAATGAGAAAAATCTGAAGCATCATAAGATGAAGACCACCCAGAGAATGATCTTGGGACTAGGCCCAGATCCTAGCTTCCCCAATTCTCGTCCCAAGTCTTCAACTCTGAGGGTCCCTTGTCTGCTTTAGCTGGTCAGTCCTGTAACCTCACTAGAACATGTGAGAACATCCATTCCTCCTAGTCAGGCTTGCGGTGCCCTATGCATGCCACTGTGTGTGCACAGAACTAGGCTTCTGCAATAAGTTTCCACATCTCCAGAATCCTACAAACCAGAATCCCATCAACCAAAAACCTCAAACCCACTCCTGACTCATAGTGACCCTACAGGACAGAGTAGAACCACCCCATAGGGTTTCCAAGGCTGTAATCTTTATGGAAGCAGATTGCCACATCTTTCCTCTGCTGAGCAGCTGGTGGTTAGCAGCTGAGAGCTCTAACCATTGCACCATGAGGGCTCTCTTCATCACATCCACAGTCCCATATGATTGTCCTGGCTTCTGAGTACGTGTGGAGTCAGATGATCTGCCTGCTCAAGAGGGCAGGTAGAGGCCCAGCTTTGTTAGAAGGAGGGGCCTTCTCTTAATTGGCCCTGCTAGACAGGAGGGATGTCCAATAAGAAGATAGCATTAAGACCAGCTTATTTTCTATTGTGTTTTTCCATTATTGTATTTTTCCATTGTGTGGTTTTTTTCATGATTTCTATTTATAGTTAATAATTTTAGCTTAATAGCCTTACCTTGTTTTCCTACATCTAATTTATATTTCTTTAAATTATTCTCCCTTTTCAAATCTCCTCTTTCCTGTTTGGTATTTCTAATCTTTTAGGTCTTCTGGTTTTTAATCTTCTCTTTTGATTATCTGAAAATTGGACTTCTCATGATCTGAAATAGACTCAGAATTATTTTCTAAGGCAACTCCTAGCCTTCTGTGCAAGTGCCCTTTACCCAGCTCCTTCAGATACAAACATGTATATGCCTGCACACCTACACGTGTACACATACATCATGGTCCCTCTCACAAGTCCGTAGGCACATGTCCATACCCAGACATCCTTGTTTACTGATGGAGGCCCCTCATCTCCCCTCCTGATCACCTCCTGGCAGAGGGAAGTGAGAAGACCCCAAGAAGGCATCACAGCTTCAGAGTGTCTACCCTGAGCAAAGATACTAGGTTTGGGGTCATGCTTCTCTGTCAGACTGCCAGGCCTGGGTCAGTTAGACACCCCCAAACCCTCTACTGTGCAGGCCAGCCTGCTGGTCGACTCACCTTCTTGTACTTGTGGGGGAAGGTGAACCTTTCAATGGTGTTCTGCACAGCTCCTCGAGTCACATTTCCCAATCTGTCCTCCAGCTGCAGCAGTTCCTGCAGAGAGAAAAGCATGGACCCGTTGTGTACTCAGCATGTGCAAATGCATATGTACACATACACACACATACATGCCAAGGAGGAGGGTCACTGAAAGGTCTGAGCAGGAAGAAGCCCATCAGGAAGAAGGTAACCGATGCTGGGAGGCTAACGCCTCCACTCTCTTTTATCTTTCTTTCTCTTTCTTATTCTCTCCCCTGGAGACTTCCCCATCCCATCCCTCATCTGCCATCAGTGAGAAAGAAGAGACATGACATCTCCACTAACCTAGTTGGTTCTAGACTAACAGGAGGATTCCCAGACCTACCTCATAGCTCTCCCGCACGGCAGAGGTGTGTCTGCTGGGGTTCAGCCCCTGGAGAGCCAGGAAGTGGAGCTGAGGGTAAGGGTAGTTGCGGATTTCATGAACGACCTGTTGGGGAGAAAACGCCTTGGATAGAGCAAATATTAAAGGCTGCTTGATGAGCCCAGGGTGACCTCCTCCTCCTGAACTCGCTGACGCACACACTCCAGATGCTGCGGGCAGAGGCATTGTCTTTTCCTTCTCTGTGTCTCGCTTTCCTCCTCAAGAGGCAAACTGTGCCTGAGCCAGCCCCAGAAAAAATAACAAAATCAATAAAGTAACAAGTAACACTGATTGGGCATTTACTTCATGGCAGGCACTATTCTAAGCATTTCTCATGACTGACTAACTTAATTATCTGACCACCTGATCTATAGTGTGGGTGCAACTGTTGTTCTTAGGTGCCCTTTAGTCAACGCCAACTCATAGCGACCTTATGTATAACAGAATGAAACACTGTCCAGTCCTGTCCATACAGTAGTAGGTGTATTTGAGCCCATTGTTGTGGCCACTGTGTCTACTCATCTCACTGAGGGTCTCCCTCTTTTTCCGTGACCCTCTATGTTACCAAGCATGATGTCCTTCTCCAGTGATATGGGTGCAAGTATTATACCCATTTTACCGATGGGGTAAGTGAGGCACATATAGATGAGAAAACTGGCCCAAAGTTACACAATCAAACAGCAGAAGCAGGATTTCAAACTCAGGCAGTTGGGCTTCAGAGTCCACATCCATAATCTGCCTTAGAGAGAAGCCCAGAAGTTAAGAACTAGAGTAAGGAAAGTGAGGCACTGCACTTGGACACAAAATTTAAGAGGGCACCAACAAACTCAGTAATCAAGATAAATAATATTGTAATGAAATGTTTCAAAAAATCAAGAGTAATGCAAAAAAGAAAATTCATGATACACAAAATACCAAGTTCTTAAATAAAGACTCTGACCTTGTGCTTGCAATGGCCCTGCTACACTCACTTCACTTTAACTCCAGCTATGAGTCAGGGGAGTTTCCATGATGACACCTCAACTTATTCACCATGTGACCCTGGGGCAATCACTTAACTTCTCTATGACTCAGTTTGCCAATCTGTAAAATCACAATAATACCCTTTCTTGTAGGTATTGAAAGAATTAAATGAGAGAATTCACATGGCGTGCTTGGAACAGTGCTTGGTATGTAGTAAGTGCTCAATAAATGTTAGCCTCTTTTATTCTTAGGAGATGGTGCTTCATGGCACAAACCACTGAACACCACAGGACTTCAGAGATTACTTGTAGCATAGTGGCTAAAGCACTTGACTGCTAACCAGAAGGCTGGCGGTTCAAACCCACCAGCCACTCCTCGGAAGGAAGGTTGGGCAATCCTACTTCCGTAGTGATACTGCCTCGGAAACCCAAGGAGGGGTCGCTATGAGTCGGGGCCGACTCGACAGCACATAACAACAACAACATAACAACATTATACAAATAAGGGAATTGAGGGAGTGACAGGCTAAATGACAGAGACAAGGGCTGGAGGGTGGGATTACATTTTAGGGTAGCAGCATGAAGCTGTTTGGAAAGAAGATTCTCAATAGCCCCTTGTCATTTTTGTGAGCCATCTTCACTTTAATTCTATGCAGCTTTCAACGCCAGGAACTTGAAGGCCCCCAAACACTCTGCAGTGATGAGAAGGCCTGTCCTCTGCAGAAGACAAACCAGACTTGTAGGCCAGGCCCCAGGAACCTCTGGGATCTCTTTGACCCTCACACTGATGAGATGGCTGAGGTTAGCATCTACTTTCCCATTTCACAGATAAGTGCAGCCAAAGCCCAGGGAGGCCCTGACCCCAGGAAGTTAACTAAATGAGACCTTAGAAGGTGCAGGGACTCCCCAGCCTGCTCCTAGCCCTGAGCCTTTTCCCACAGACTGCAGCCTGCCACATCGCCCCTTTCCACGCCTCCAATGTCTGTCTCCTACTCCCTTCTGCAATACCAGCTTTAGTCCGGCAGATTCCCTTCTTTTCCCTTCAAGCCAGGGTGGGCAGAGGAGCTGGGACGGGAGGGGAGGGGAGCAATTGGCCTGCCTGGGAGCCAGGGCACAGCAGAGTCACAGGCTCTGGCCCCCCAAGGGCACAGCCAGAAACAGAGGAGTCGCTTCCTGGCAGAGCCCATTCACTCACCATCTGTGTGGAGGAGGAGTTTCTGGAGAAGTGGTGCATTCGAGGAGTCGCTAGGTAATGCTGATAGTGCTGAGGGATGGGTCGCACCTGGAACTGGGCAGGACTCAAGCCGGCATCCACGCTGAGATCCCTGCAGGGATACAGCCACAGTGAGCTCCAGGGCCATGCGAGTCAGCCAACAAGTCACAGGAGGAACTTCTGACATGAGGTCCATCCAGGAAAGTCAGAGTCACAAAGTGTGAGTTCTACACTTTAGATCACCCGGCCCTTCTCTTCTCCTTAGAGCCAAGGAAACCCAGGCTGAGAAGGAAAGAGCTCAGCAAGACCTGAAGGAGTTAGAGCCATCTAAAAGAAAAACCAGTGGTTGATTGCTTCAACTCAAGGCAACCTCATGTGTGTCAGAGTAGAACTGTGCTCCACAGGATTTTCAATGGCTGGTTTTTTGCAAGTAGATTACCAAGTCTTTCTGCCAAGGTGCCTCTTGGTAAATCTGAACCTCCATCATTCTGATTAGCAGTTGAGCACATTAACCATTTGCATGAACCAGGAACTCCATGGAGGGCCTCTAAAATCTCTTGAAACTAACACATTTTTTAAGACAAAGCCCGCTCCTAAGAGAAGGCTGAAAAAAAAAAAAAAAAAAGATTCCAAATAGAGCAGTCTAGGGGAATAGGTCAAAGGAAAGGCAAGGCCTAGATAAAAGTGGAGGTGGGAGCAGAGGCCATATCTTTCACTATTTGCAGAAAACAACCAAAGAGAGACCTCTATAGCTGTGAAGCTAGAAAAGCTCTCCTGGGCCACCCACCCCTCCTGAAAGTATAGGACCACTCATTCAATACACACACACATCCACAAAACAAGCAAACAAACAAATAAATGCAATGAAAGGGGACATAGGGCTCCTTGGAAAGTGGCTAATCTCAGTTCTGAGGCAGAGAATGTACATGTGCATGTGAGTTCAAAACCTTCTGTCATAACCTCAAACAAGGATGCCATCAAAGACCACTAGGGTCATGTCAAAAGAATTCAGAAACAGTCCTGAAGACTCTCCCACTGGCCAGAGTTGGTACAATTTGCTTATCAACAAGCATAACTGCAAGACTGAAACACATCCAATATATTTAAATCCATGACAGGGAAATGATGCTAAAGAAAATTTGGTCACCTTTGAAAAATGCTAGGGAATCAGCTCTTTGTCTTAAAACTACTAAATAAAGAGAAAGAACCAAGCATTTATCCTGCCTCTCCTCCATTAACTGTTCTTCAGAGTAACCAATGCTCTGATGAGGGGAAATTTCTCTTCATAAAAATACTCCATCTAACAAATAAATAAGGAATGATTGAATTATTTGCCACCATTTTGCATCCCTACTTGCTGCTAACATCACATAAAGGAAGGCAAGCAGACATTCTTTCTGGGGAAGAATGCAAAGCCACCTATAAAGTATTTTTGCCAAGAAATAAAGTTCGAACCTAAATCTGATCAAGCTGTCAACTCTGGAGATCCTGGATAGAGTGGGAGGGAAAATGTGGAACAAAATCCAAAAACTCAATAATGACCAGAATTACTGGTCAGATGGAGTCTGGTGAGACTCCCAATATATTCTGTGCCTGGAATAGAGCTCACTCCCAGGGGCTGGCTCTCAGCCCAATAGTAAACAAGATATACGTGCAGACCACTCAACCCAGGGTGAGGCACCCACATACTCTATGGAAATGCATCCCTTGGAGCAATTGACCATGGGGCACCGGAGGGGCAAAATTCCCATGGAGGAAATGCAGGACAAACAGGAGTGTTTAACTATGAGGAGCATGGGGAGAGGGTTACTGGGCATGGAAGGGAGGAGACTGGGTTAGGGTTGGACATGGTCAATAGACAGTGAAATTAAATGTACACGTAATGTTGAATGTAAAACAAACTCTTAACATTAAAAATTAATAAATAAATAATAAATCGGATCAAGCCAATGTAAAGAAACTCAGGAAATTGAGACACATGTTAACTGATAGTATGGGAGTGTATCAGCAAAATCCAGATACTGTAATGGGAAATTCTGCGGGAAAAACAACTTAGTTTCCTCAACAAAGAAATTCAAACAAACAAATGGACAGTGATGATGGTTGATGAAGACAAATAATGTCACTGAATTGTACATGTAAAAATGTTGATATGGCCAATGTTGTGTTGCATATATACTTATCATAGTAAAAAAAAAAAAAGTCAAAAAACAAAACAAGACAAAAACATATGGAGGAGAATTTTTTTTAAAAGTTCTTCTTCCAGCTATGGTGGAGTAACAGGAATCAGATTGACTTTTGCACTGTAAATCACACACACAGAAAAACTGGACAAAATACATGACAAAACTATTTTCAGACATTGATCAACAGGCATAGAGAGCTGTTATCCCTGGGAAAAGGGAATGAAGCAAGATGAGCCCTACAACTTCCCTGGCTTTCTGCTTGCAGGAACATTCCAGATCATGGAGCAGGAAGGAGGACCCCTAGCAGGGCACAGTGGTCTTGATGAGTTGGCCAATTGGAGATCTTAGTTCAGAGAATATGGGGTCTCTGAAATGTGGAGTTCTGCTCATCGACATGAAAACTATCCACAAAGTTTTGGAGAGGAGGAAACCATCCAAAATAAGAACTCCAGAAATCTGCAGAAGGACCCCCTCGAATCTTTGCTGAATATGAAGATTCCATCAGATCAATCAAAGAGCAACCAAGGAACAACAAATGAATTCCAGAGCTTAGCAAGGCTGGGAAGAATTTGCATTCCAAACAAGCAGGAAAGAGAGTTCTGGTTGATTGATCACTTGAGAGATTCAACAGAGACCCCAGAAGAGCCTTTTGAGGCTTGTTTATAGCTTTATTGGGGGCAGGACTACAGTAGGCTCTGCTCCAGGGATACTCTAAACCACTGTTGTTGAGTCAATTCCAACTCATGGAGACTCCATGTGGGTCAGTAAAACTGGCTCAGAGATGCTCTAGACTGGCTGTAATCAAATTTAAAAACAAATCTCAAAAGGATCAAACTGAACTGCAAGTAGTGCTGACCAGGACAAAGGCCAAGATTCTTTAAAAGAATAAAACAAATCCAATTGCTCAACAATGCATAATTCACAATGTCAATCATTCAATAAAAAAATTACCAGACATACCAAGAAGCAGGATAATATGTCTCATAATCATGTGAAAAAAAATGGTCAATAGAAATACCCTAAGATGCAGACGACTCATAACAACAACAACAACAAAGATGCAGAAATGACAGAGCAGATGATGGTTGGCCAGACACAGCTACTCCTTGGGAACTCCCACATTTAGCCAGGCTCTGAAAACACCCCTTGAGAGGAAGCTCAGGGCTTCTGAAGGTACAGCCTCAGAACCTGAGTGGGCAAGAAGCCAGGAGACATCAGGGCTTAGATACTTTTCTTCTACTTCTTGCCTTGGACAGGCCCTGACAGCTAACTTTCTTGGCTCTCACTGGACTTGCTGTGACACAGGCTGCTGGTTTCCACACAGACTGTGAAATGTGGGTTTGGCTATGACACATCTGGGACAAAGTCCTCTGAGATGGCTCTGAGGATGAGAGTCCAATAAATCCATCAGCCTTCAAGGGGGTCTGAATTCTATTTTTTGAGTCAGAATTGACATAATTTTCATAATGGCTCCTGGATCTGGCCCTAACTTCTTTCTCTATACCTTAGCTCCAGCTGCTGCAGGAAGGCAAGACTAACTGTTGTCCTCACAGGCTCCACACACACCACTGTTCAAGTAGCCACAGGAACCTGTTGTCAGAAGGCCCTGGTCTTTGTCCTAATTCTGCCCTTCCTCAGCTGTGAGACCCTTTCCAGTGAGTTCACCTCTTTGTGCTTCATCGAAAATGATGACAGCAATGGCTTCTCACGGTGATGTTGAGAGAATCAAATGGGAAAATGGATGTGAAAGCCCTTTGCAGAGCATTTACAAATGCAGGGGTTATTATTAGCCCAAATCCCTGAGGTAACTCATTGTGAGTCTGTCATTTGGCAAATGAGCTAAATTCTTGGAGTCAATTGGAAGTAAACTTAGCAATCATCTAGTCCAGTCCCTCATTTCATGGGCCCGTCTAAGGCAAGAAGAGGAGCTTTGTCCTTTCCAAGGTTCTTGGCTAGAAAGTTAGGGCCACAGGGTTTCTGAGCCTTACCCAGGTTCATCTCGCTGTACCACTTGAGGGAAAGAAATTCCAGGGGACAACTCATGTGGCTGAAGCTCTGATTTCCAGCAGTGTCCAGGAGCCCAGCAAGTTCAAAGGAGCAAAGAGATGTTCAGGGAATTCCACCAAAAGCAAGGAACTTGGGGTGTGGCACTAAGAGAGTTACCCCAGTTCCAAGAATGCTTGCACCTGAGATGGGAGGGTTGGTCTACCCTGGTTGGGCGTAGGTGGGCTCTGGGATCCTCCTTCTTATAATCTCATCAGAAAATCCCTTCCTATGCCCAGTTTCCCTCAATATGGTGCAGTTCCGCAGAACCTCAGGAAGTCTGGGGTGGAACTTGCCCCAAGGAGTCACCAGTCCCTTGAAAGGCAGCTTCTCCTAATTTTCCACTATTGTCACCAGCCTATGAAAATCTGGCTGAGTTTTGGAGGGTCAAGAAAATATCCAACAGGCTTAAGGCATTTACCTCAAGCTTAGCATAATGTTAAACTAGAACTGTGTTTTAGGAATTTCTTATAGAAATTGTCAGCGCACAATATTTCAGTATGTCTAACCATCAAACTTAACTTTAGTTGCCACTGTCAATGCTCTTGCAGTGTGTATAAACCCTTAAGTTCTTCCCATGTGTCTTGGTTACCTAGTACTGCTCTGACAAGAATATACCACAAATGGGATGCTTGAACAAACAGGAGTTTATTCTCTTACAGTTTGTAGGCTTTAAGTCCAAGCTCAAAGTGCCAGGCTCTAGGGGCTGGGTGAAAGCCCCTCAAACTTGGGCTTCAGCTCTGCCTCCTGCTCCCACCCCACTGAAGCTAGTGGCTTTTCTTCACTCAGGCAGCTGCTGGCTGCTGAGACAAGCCCAAGGTTGACAAGTAAAATGGCACAGGTCTGATGTTACCAAACCACATGGCAGGCCATTAATTCAAGTCCATTGAAAGTCCCAAGGTTGGCAGAGCATGGCAAGCTACATGCAGAGTTCAAGTGGGCCATAAGCTAGAGACCATTCCCAAAGCTGTTTCTTATATATGGGAAGCAGAGCACATACCCAAAGCAGCTACCCAGCTGCTCCAGTAGATTCCATCATGGAGCTAATTACCAGTCTCACCATGGGGAATAACTACATTCAGCTGCCCAACCACTCAACCAGGTCCAGCCAAGTTGCCACACAAACTTAACCACCACACCAAGGAATTTGCCCCCAAGTGTTGGGTGCCATCTTGTGGGTGAGTCCAGACTTGCAGAGCCCTAAGAGGCTTAGGTGAGGCAGGACTGCTTGCAAGAAAGGACAGCAGGAGTCTCTCATCCTCCCCTACCTTCTGCCCACAGGTCCCAGGTACCTAGAAATCTCTGCCCTGGGTAGCAGCTGAGCAGGTTACAGTCCACACTGGGAGTCAGAGTTGGGGCTGAGAAGCCAGGACTGAGTCAGAGAAGGAGCATGATAAAGACAGAGACATGGGAACTAACTGTGGCTCAGGACGAGGGGTGGGAGTATTGGGCATGGGCCAGAAAGGGGGACCAATCTGAGGAAAGTTGACATCTTGAACATATTGAGTTTCCCAATCTATGAACACAATGTTGTTGCTGTTGTTACGTGCCATCAAGTCGGCCCCGACTCATAGTGACCCCTCCTTGGGTTTCCGAGGCAGTATCACTATGGAAGTAGTGATACTGGGTAAACCTCGTGTGGCTTGGCATCTCTCTTCTCCCATCCCTGCTTCTCAGTTGATAGCTTGTTTAATCTTATGTATCTCAAAAGAGATAGACTCAAACACACCCTCCTAATCCTGCCTCATTAACATAACAAAGACAAACTATTCCCAAATGGGATTATGAACCCAGGTATAGAAGTTAGGATTTACAATACATAATTTAATCATCATGGGTGTCCATGAAAAGTGCTCCCAAAGTAAATCCTGACAAAGACAGTTTGCTTGACTAAAATGGCTGGAAAATGATACAACTGCACAGATTTCTCAATATAGTCCATTTTTTCTACTGATTTTTCTCTTTTCAACATTCTTAAAAAATTTTGTTTTACTTAAAATTTGCAAGAATAGAATAAAGAACTCCTGGATACCCTTCATCCAAACCAAAACCGAACCCACTGCTGTCAAGTCGATTCTGATCCATAGTGACCCTAAATGACAGAGTAGAATTGCCTCATAGAGAGCCTCTTATGGAAGCAGACTGCCACATCTTTCTCTTGCAGAGCAGCTGGTTTTTAAACTGCTGCCCTTTTGATTAGCAGCCAAATGCTTAACCACTGCATCACCAGGGCTCCTTACCCTCCTCCCAGATTCCCCAAATGTTAATATTTTATGACATTTCTAAATCCTCTTCTGTTTTGCTCTCTCCACACACATACATATACACACACACACAGACACACACTTCTCTATGGAGATAGATAGAGATATACATAGACCTTATATATGAATATAGATAGATAGAAATAGTATACATACTTTATGTGCATATTTATATTTATCTAAGTGTTTTCTGAATCATTTAAAAATAAGTTGCAGACATGATGCCCTTCACCTCTAAATACTTCAGTGAAGTGCATATCTTTTAAAAGTATTTGAGTATACAGATCTGACCCTAATTTAGATAAGCCCTCTACTGCACTAGAACCAAAGTTGAGTAGGACTGTTGTTGTTGTGTACCGTTGAGTCACACCTGACTCATAGTGACCCCTCCTTGGGTTTCCGAGGCAGTATCACTACGGAAGTAGGATTGCCCAACCTTCCTTCCGAGGAGTGGCTGGTGGGTTTGAACCGCCAGCCTTCTGGTTAGCAGTCAAGTGCCTTAGCCACTATGCTACCAGAGCTCCCTGAGTAGGACTAAGGAGCCAAAATCAAGCAATACTGCATTGCAGGCCAGCAAGGAGCTCTGTCCTCTGTAGGGGATTGTAGGAAAACTTCAGAGGGAACCTGTTGCCTATAAAGACACACAACAAAACTCTCGGTCCCTCTCCCCAGCCCATCAGGCTTTGCCCTAGTGCTTCAGGTGTGACATCACCCTCTCTCCTGTGAGTCTGTATTTACAGGACCTCCCCATTCTGAGTGTCTTGCTGTTGTGCCCTGACACTTCTCTGTTGTTCCCTTGAGATCCACGCCCTCCAGGAAACCTTTCCTGAGCACCTAGTACTCAGAACTCTCCATTCTCCCTCCCCCAGGAACCTCATTGAGTCTTGAGAAATGTTTTACATCCTTGTCTCCCTCCTTCTCTGCAGAAACCTGGGCACTGAGCCCCAGGCTGGACACAAGATGAAGCCCAGTTATATCTGACCTCATTGCTGGAACCAGGCCCCAGTGGGGTGTCCTGGCTCTGAAGGTGGCTGGGGGCTGAGGCAAAGGCTGGGGCCTGAGGACTGGGTCTCCTGCACTGTTCTAAGTGAAAGAAACAGGAAGTTGATGGATAAAACAAGAGCTTCCTCCCTCCCAACCTCCCCCAGAGGACCCAAAGACTCACCAGTCAGTGCCCTCAGCCAAATACCTGGGCTGAGGAGTCTGCAGTTGGTGGCCGAAGTCGAAGCTGGGGTGGAGGCGGTGGGGGTGGACAGACACACGCTCCTGACTCCGCCTACACCAGAGGGAAGGAGCCCATGGCATCAGGGGCCACTGGGGCCAGTCTAGCTCCCAAGAGTGTTGGACAACCCTAGCCAGTTTGAAGGTGTCCCCTTGCAGCCCCTTATAGAGCCCTACATCCATGGAGCAGTGGGCTTAACCCCTCCTCCCAAACCCCAAGGAAAGCTCCCAAACTTTAAGGCCTCCAATAACTCAGACACTCAAGTGGACTGAGATTTCATCTGGCCCCACCCAAACTCTCTCACCTCCTCTGTCCCTTCTCTCTCTCTCTCTGTCTCTTCTTCTTCTCTTGGCAAGGCTGTCTTCAAGACACACAGATCCACCTCCTACAGGTTTTTCCACCTCTGTGCACACCCTCTCACCCACTCTTCTCTCTCAACCCCTCTTCACACTCTTCCCAGTATTCATGGCCCAGATCAAAGACCATATGAAGACCTTCCTGAACACTCCAGCTCATGGTGATCTCTCTTCTCTCTGGCCTCCTCCAACACACACCTTTGTCTCATGCACTCCAATCCCTACAGTTGGGATCCTCAATAAATTTTACTGGAGTGGTAGGAACCAGGCCTCAGAGCCTGGGGCTTTGAGCCTTCTCCCACCCTGCCCCAGCACTGACCTGGAGTGTGAGACCAGCCTGCGGTGCTGGGCTTCCAGGAGCTGCTGTTGCAGGAGGTATTGCTGGTGCAGGGCCTGAGGTAGGAAGGAGGGACCTGTGACGTCCTGGAACTGGAGGGTGGGCAGCGGGGTCAGCGACTGGTGCAGGGCGCTGCTGTGCTGGTGGGCCGGGGCCATGTGGGCGCTGAGGCCCGGCTGCGACTGCACGGGGTGGGCCAGAGGGAAGTCGGGGGTGAGTTGCTGCGGCTGTGGGGGGCCCAGGTGGAAGTGGCGGCAGGAGGTAGCGTGAGGATGCTGAGACCTTTGAAAGGGGGCACCTGAGGAGGCAAGGACAAAGAAGACACCATGAGACCAGCAAGGACCCTCCCTCTCAAACTCCACCCATTTTTTCCCTAACAGTTTGCTAGGATTCCTTTATTTTCAGACATTACAATGTCAAAAAGATTTATAAAAATAAAACATTTCTGCCCAAACACAGTTGAAGGCAAGCATATTCAGTGTCTATGTTCTGAATAAGCCCATTATGGATATATGGATATATATATATGAGTGTGTGTGTGTGTGTGTGTATTGTTGTTGTTGTTATGTGCCATTGAGTTGGACCCGACTCATAGCGACCCCTCCTTGGGTTTCCGAGGCAGTATCACTACAGAAGTAGATTGCCTAACCTTCCTTCTGAGGAGTGGCTGGTGGGTTTAAACTGCCAACTTTTTGGTTAGCAGTCAAGTGCCTTAGGCATTATGCTACCAGAGCTCCATGTGTATGTATACACACACATATATACATATATATATATATACACACACACATATTTCCACATATATGCATTCACATGTGTACATTATTCCTCCTCTAGTTACAAGAACTATGTCTTGTATAATTCTGATTTTGACCTTCAATCTCCATCATTTACTCTTCCACTCATACCTAAATCTTGGGTCTCTTTCAGTACTATAAATAATTCATCCAAACCCCCAGTCAGTACTGGCAGAGAGCTGTTAACACAAAAGTGAGGTCCCACTTTCCACTAACAGCTTCTGCACATTGAAGGCAGAGTGTATCTGAAGACTCAGCTGCATATTTCCAACAACGAGGGCATTTTTCTTCAGTAGATGGCATGACAATTACTTTATATGAAGACTCTTCACGATTATCACCACCTTGTAAATTGATTAGACATGTTCCTGTAAGCTCAATTGCATCTGCAGTCATCTCTCATGGTTCCAGAGTGAGTAAAGTTGTCTGGGAAGCCATCATCATTTCATTCAAATGAGAGGCACTAGAAGTCTCCTGAGTTTGTAGCATCTCTATTATCTCAAAAAGCAGTCCAGGTTCTATCACAATGACAGCCTTGACCGCTGCATTTTTGCCAAGGATGCTTCCAAAAAATGAATTTCTCATTGCTCATGGGGCTCTCCACAGCTTCCTCCAATCTAGGTTTCTTCCAGATGTTGTTGTTGTTGTTATGTGCTGACGAGTCAAACCCAACTCATAGTGACCCCTCCTTGGGTTTCTGAGGCAGTATCACTATGGAAGTAGATTGCCCAACCTTCCTTCCGAGGAGAGATAGAACTTGTATTTATCCGCCCAGTACGAAAACCACCCTTGGGTTTATTAGCATAATGTATGTGTCTTCTTTGGATGGCTGTAACAGTAAAAGGAGAGGCCAGGCAGGAAGCAGGAGGCAGTGGACAGCCAGAGCAGGAAGAGGGGAGGCCAGGAAGTGAGTGGAGTGGTTTGAAACAGCTAAGGGAGACGAACTTGTCTGTCAGTTTGTCATAATGAGGTGGTTGCATGTTGCTGTGAGGCTAGAGGCTATGCCACTGGTGTTTCAAATGCCAGCAGGGTTACCAATGGTGGACAGGTTTCTGCAGATCTTCCAGACTAAGACAGACTTGGAAGAAGAAAAGGCCATCCACTTCTCAAAGAATTGGACAGTGAAAACCTTATGAATAGCAGTGAAACACTGTCTGATATATTACTGGAAAACTTTATGAATAGCCCTGAAACATTGTATGATACAGTGCCAGAAGATGAGCCCCTTAGGTTGGAAGGCACTCAAAATACGACTGGGAAAGAGCTGCCTCAGCAGTGTAGAGCCAACCATAATGATGTGGATAGAGTAGAGCTTTAGGGATCTCCATTTGCTGATGTGGCATGACTCAAAATGAGAAGAAACAGCTACAAACATCTATTAATAATCAGAACATGGAAGGTAAGAAGTATGAGTTTAGGAAAATTGGAAGTTGTCAAAAATGAAATGGAATGCATAAAGATTGGTAGCCTAGGCATTAGTGAGCTGAAATGGACCCGTTTTGGCCATTTTGAATCAGACAACCACATGATCTACTATGCCGGGAATGACAAATAGAAGAAAAATGGTGTTGCATTCGTCATCACAAAGAATGTTTCACAATCTATCCTGAAGTACAATGCTGTCAGTGATAGGATAATATCCATACACCTATAAGGAAGGCTAGGAGCTCTGGTGGCATAATGCCTACGGCATTTGACTGCTAACCAGAAGGCTGGCAGTTCAAATCCATCAGCCACTCCACACAAGGAACATTGGGCAATCTACTTCTGTAGAGATACTGCCTCAGAAACCCAAGGAAGGGTCACTATGAGTCAGGACTGACTCAATGACAGTGAGTTTGTTTTTTTTTTTTTTTACAAGGAAGACCAGTTAATATTACTATTATTCAAATTTATGCACCAATCACCAAAGCCAAAGATGAGGAAATTGAAGATTTTTACCAACTTCTTCAGTCTGAAATTGACTGAACATGCAATCAAGATGTGCTAATTATCACTGGTGACTGGAATGCAAAAATTGGAAACAAAGAAGAATCACTAGTAGTTGGAAAATTTGGCCTTGGTGATCGAAACAACTCTGGAGATCACATGATAGAATTTTGCAAGAACAAAAACTTATTCATTGCAAATACCTTTTCTCGATAACACAAATAGAGGCTATATATGTGGACTTTGCCAGATGTAGTACACAGGAATCAGATTGACTACATCTGTGGCAAGATGATGGAAAAGCTCAATATCTTCAGCCAGAACAAGGCCAGGAGCTGATTGTGGAACAGACCATCAATTGCTCATATGCAAATTCAAGTTCAAGTTGAAGACAATTAAAACAAGTCTAAAAGAGCCAAAATATGACCTTGAACATATCCCTCCTGAATTTAGAAACCATCCAAAGAACAGAATTGATGCATTGAAGACCAATGACTAAAAAACAGAGGAATTGTGGGATGACATCAAGAACATCATCAATGAAGATAGCAAAAGGTCATTAAAAAGAAGGGAAAGGAAGAAAAGACCAAAATGGATGTCAGAAGAGACTCTAAAACTTACCTTTGAGTGAAGAATAGTGAAAGCAAATGGAAGAAATGACAAGATAGAAGCGATGAACAGAAGATTTCAAAGAGCAGCTCGAGAAGACAAAGTCAATTATTATAATGAAATATGCAAAGACATGGGGTTGGAAAACCAAAAGGGAAGAACACACTTGGCATTTCTCAAGCTGGAAGAACTGAAGAAAAAATTCAAGCCTCGAGTTGCAATATTGAGAGGTTCTATGAGCAATATATTGAATGATGCAGGGAATATCAAAAGAAGATGGAAGGAATACACAGAGTTACTGTACCAAAAAGAACTGGTTAATGTTCATCCATTTCAGGAGGTGGCTTATGATCAAGAACCAATGATACTGAAGGAGGAAGTCGAAGCTGCTCTGAAGAAATTGGCAAAAAAACAAGGCTCCAGAAATTGGTGGAATACCCACTGAGGTGTCTCAACAAATGGATGCCTCACTGGAGGCACTCACCTGGCTATGCCAAGAGATTTGGAAGACAGCTACCTGGACAACTGACTAGAAGAGATCCATATTTGTACCCATTCCAAAGAAAGGTGATCCCACAGAATGGGGAAATTATTGAACAATATCATTAATATCACATGCAAGTAAAATCTTACTAAAGATAATTCAAAAATGATTGCAGCAGTATATTGACAGAGAACTTCCAGAAATGCAAGCTGGATTCAGAAGGGGATGTGGAGTAAGGGATATCAGAGCTAATGTCAGATGGATCTTGGCTCAAAGCAAAGAATACCAGAAACATGTTTATTTGTGCTCCATTGACTATGAAAAATTGTTCAATTGTATGGATCATAACAAATTATGGATAAAATTGAGAAGAATGGGAATTCCAGAACACTTAATTGTGCTTATGAAGAACCTGTACATAGAGCAGGAGGTGGTTGTTCAAACAGTGCAAGGGGACACTATAAGATTTAAAATCAGGAAGGGAGTGTGTCAGGGTAATATCCTTTCATCATACTTATTCAATCTGTACGCTGAGCAAATAATCCAAAAAGCTGGACAATATGAAGAAGAACGTGGCATCAGGATTGCAGGAAGACTCATTAACAACCTGAGATACACTGACAACACAACTTTGCTTGCTGAAAGTGAGGACAACTTGGAACGCTTACTGATGAAGATTGAAGACTGCAGTCCGCAGTATGGATTACACCTCAATACAAAGAAAACAAAAATCCTTACAACTGGACTAATAAGCAGCATCACGATAAATGGAGAAAAGATTGAAGCTGTCAAAAACTTCAGATTACTTTTTTCTACAATCAACAGCAATGGAAACAGAAGTCAAGATATCAGACAAGGTATAGCATTGGGCAAATCTGCTGCAAAAGACCTCTTTCAAGTACTGAAGAGCAAGGATATCTCCTTGACTCAGGTGCACCTGACAGAAGGCATGGTATTTTCAATTGCCTCATATGCATGTGAGAGCTGGAAAATGAAAAAGGAAGACTGAAGAAGAGTTGATGCTTTTGAATTGTGGTGTTGGCAAAAAATACTGAAAGTACCATGGACTGTTAAAGAACTAACAAATCTGTCCTGGAAGTGCAGCCAGAATGCTCCTTGGAAGCGAGAATGGCCAGATTCATCTCACCTACTTTGGTCATGTTGTAAGAAGGGACCATTACCTGGAGAAGGATATCATGCTTGGTAAGTTGGAGGGTCAACAAAAACTGGGCAGTGTTTCGTTCTGCTGTACATAGGGTCGCTGTGAGTTGGAGATGACTTGACAGCACGTAACAACATAAAAACAATGTGTCTTCTTCAGCCAAATGAGGAAGACTGGAAGCAAAAGAACAAACTATGACCTCCAAAATTTCAGCTAATGCAGTTTGAGAACAGCATCATTTGGGATCATTTTCATTTTAACAATAAAGCCTATCTTTGATTATTCTGAAATAAAAGTTAGAAAGTTCTCTATAAAAC